TAATTTAGTTATCATCGACAATATTTAGCAAATCTACACTGAACTTAATTTTGCAGGTGAAAAGGTAAAAACCAAAGATTTTGACCATTTTAAATATAAATACAAATTTTTAAATTGATAACTTGTTCCATTATGTGAAAGAAAAATATTAGTTAATTTATCTGAGACACTAAGGTTTCTACAGAGGGTAATTACCTGGTATTTTCAATTAGAGATAGACATATGTATAGTTATACATTGAACAGATATACACATATCCACACAAATTTGTGAGGTTAACTGCATCATTAATTATTTTCAGCTATTTCACCTTGTTAATATTATAGAATATGTGTTGCCTTTATATATTAATAACAATTAAAAATACCTTCACATAGAAGGTATCACTAAGAAAATAACAAACAACAGAGTTAAAAGTGACCATAGGGATTGAGTCTGGGGTTAGGGAGGTGTGGGGGGCAACAGACTGATGCTTGTCATTAAGGCCTTTGAGCTACATGTACAATTTGGTTAAAAAATGCAAAATTATTTTTTAAAAAATACCTTCATATAGGCAAATTCCTTCATGGCAGAGAGACGAGATAAATAAAGCCAGGACACGTTATGTCTGTGTTTATGGTAATCTCGCTTGTTTTTCAGATTTCGAAAGGAGGTTCTTCCTAGTCTGTGAAGCTTTAATGCAAATTGCTGTCCTTCTTCATTTGCCACAATGTAGATATCTGGAGCCAAGAGGATCACTATTATATTTTTATTCTAATAAGTTAAAACAATTATAACTTTGTTTCATTTTATTTGTATCAAATATATTATCTTTCCTAATACAGGTCCAGTATCCATTATCTGAAATGCTTGGGACCAGAAGTGTTTCAAATTTTGGATTTTGGAATATTTGCATGTAAATAATGAACTATCTTGGGGATGGGACCCAAGTCTAAACACAAAATTTATGTTTCACACACACTTTATACACATAGCCTAAAGGTAATTTTAGACTTTTTTTTTTTTTTTTTGAGACAGAGTCTGGCTCTGTTGCCCTGGCTAGAGTGCCGTGGCGTCAGCCTAGCTCACAGCAACCTCAAACTCCTGGGCTCAAGCAATCCTCCTGCCTCAGCCTCCCGAGTAGCTGGGACTACAGGCATGTACCACCACGCCTGGCTAATTTTTTCTATATGCATATTTTTAGTTGTCCAGATAATTTCTTTCTATTTTTAGTAGAGACGGGGTCTCGCTTTTGCTCAGGCTGGTCTTGAACTCCTGAACTTGAGCGATCCACCCGCCTCGGCCTCCCAGAGTGCTAGGATTACAGGCGTGAGCCACTGTGCCCGGCCTAGACAATATTTTTAATAATTTTGTGCATGAATTGAAGTTTGTGCACGTGAGGTCAGGCGTGGAATTTTTCACTTGTAGCATCCATCATGTTGTGATCAAAAAATTTCAAATTTTGGAGCATTGCAGAGATCAGATTTTCAGATTAGGAATGCTTAATCTGTATAACTAGGGATACCTATATTTGGCAAGACTCTATATCCCATGCATTCACCATTTTACCTTAATTACAATCCAAAATGACAAGTCAATACGTATTAATAGCTATGACAAAAGAAAGCAAAGATGCAATGTGTCAAAGGTTATTGCTTCCAAAGGTGCTCAATGCCTATATTTACCATATTTCAAAAGAATCACTCCATTTAGTGGAAAAACATTTAATTGTTCCTTCATGTCCTACGAGAGATGTGATTTAATATTTTCCTTTTCGACAACAGGAAGTTCAATTCTTCAAGTGTCTCAATGAATAATACTCTGAGTTAGTAATACCCAATTCTAACAAGAGTATTATTCATTGAGTAATATTCTAGATCTGTCTAGAGTAGACATCTCCATTCTTTCAAATAAGAGAGATCTAACAGAATGCAGATCTTCCAGTAAGTACTCTGTCAATCATCAAAACAAGTTGCTATGTGTAATACTGACATTTAGACCATGTTCTAATTACTCATAAGGAAATTTTAATTATTTTTATTAAAAAACAGGCTCTGTCACATATTGTTGATAGGATTATAAATCAGTGCAAACTTTTTGGAGAAACCTGGTAATATCAAAATTTTAAATGTACATACCTTTTGCCCTGTTATGCACTGAACTGTGCTCCTCCAAAAATTCACTGTTGAATTTCTAATCCTCAATGTAACTACTTGGGCATAGGGTCTTTAAAGCAGTAATTAAGGATTAGTGAGGTCATAAGCATGGGGCCCTAATCCACTAGGACTGATGTCCTTATCAGAAAAGAAAGAGACACCAGGGACAAAGAGAAAAGGCCATGTCAGGCAGGTATCTGTAAGTCAAGGTTAGGTCTTAGGAGAAACCAAACCTGCACACTAGACTTTTAGCCTCCAAAACCGCGAGAAAATAAATTTCTGTTGTTTTGCCACCCAGACTGTGTTATTTCCCTACAGCAGCTCTAGCAAACTAATACATGTCCCAATAATTCAATCTCTAAAGATGTATTTACAAATTTATGTGCACATATGCATAGAGACACAAGGGTGTTCACTGCCATTACTTCTGTTTATACATTTTCCACAAACACACATTGTGTTATATTTAGTACTCTTGTTTTACTTTTTAAACAGATACTACAATCTGGATATAAATACAGAAGACATGCAAACTATGTAAAATACCACAGCAACCTTCTATGGGGTAGGCTTCCTAATAATTCTTTTGCTTCCAAGTTCAATTCTGTTTCCTAAGCTTAGATAAACAATGTAACTATAAGATAAACTATACAGCATAAAAAGCAGTATATAAGGGAGCACAGTATAAAGAAAATCATTCCCTGTTCTTTACTCCTACCTATCTTCGACATAGAAAATACACAGGTACTTGTTCAACGCTATTTTAGAATGCTTTTTTTCTGCGTTCTCCATACTTTTCTTTGCCTTGTTTATCATACTGCTGATGTTAAAATGTGTTTGTGGTTTTTAGATATTCACTGTTCTCTAGTATTTCCTCATGCACGTATTTTTAACTGCTAAAAATGTAAAATTTATCAGATCTAAAGAGCAAATAAAATATGTCAAAGAATTCAATTATTAGAAGAAAATTAATTTTTGGTATAAATGAATTTTCAGTGATAGACTTTTGGAGAAAACAATAACCTACTAAATTAAGAGTACATTCATAATTTGTATTGTCTCCAACCAACTTTCCGACTCACTGCTTAGTTGGAAAAAAGGGAAAAATTAAAAGAGAAATACTTTCTCAGGGAAAATATAAACTAAAGCAAAGAAAATGTTTTCTACAGTACTATTAGCACTTACCTGATTCTTTGCCAACACCAATCTGGTTTCCAACAGACTCGACTACTTGTCTAGAAGAAAGTGTTTTCAAAGCTAGGTAATCATATCCTGCATTTGTCAACCGATAGCCTTGGACAGCTAGACAAAATCAAATGAGAAAGATTATATTTTAATTATATTGTATCTCCAAGTCATATCAGTTCCAGTTGTAAGAAGAATTTAAAGACAGGAAGTCTTTGTTGGAAAAAGATAAGCTACCCAGGCTTACAAGTTTCCCATTTCTTCCTCTAATTTGCATTTCTTCTCTAGTGTAGTGTTACTCAAAGCGTGACCCCACTGACTGTTGCTAGTCAACAAGTATCTGTGACAAGTTAAATACAGAAACTAAAAGGAAGCTCTAAGTTCAGTAATTTTTACATTAGTCTGACCAAGAATATATGCCTGTTTTTGTATATCTGTTAAATTTTATAAAACGATCTGTGATAGGTTGAAAAAAGTTCACTCTCACCACCACAGATGGTTTGAGAAGTAATGCTCTACAGACTTGTGGCAGACTGTATTTTCCAAACATGGTAGCAATGATATTTCTACCCTATTTGCTCTTCTGCAATACAACCTTGCCATTCCCTTCTCTCTGACCTCTTCTGATCTTGGTGTGCTCTGTGATTGTTTTGACTAATAGGATATATCAGAAGTATGTTTTGTCAGTTCTTCATCTAGTGCTTTACTAGTCTGGCAAATTCCACTTCTTGCCTTTTTGGAGCACCTGCTCCGGGAGAAACCAGTTACTTGAAAAATTATAAATGGTGCCTCAACATACTTACTCTTGGTACGCTCCCAAGCTATGAGTTTATGTTTCACTAATTCTCTTAAAACTTTATTACAGCCACCATGTTTAAGGCTGGCTATAGATGCAATCAAACTGCAGGGAACTATCTCATGGTTCTTCATGCCCATTTCAACCTGAAATTAAAGAAATCATATTATGTAATCATAATCAACACAAAGCCTAACAAAACCTTGCTAAGAAATTAACTTCTTGAAACTTTCCTGATTGAGCAATTCTCTAAATAATTCTGAGACATAATTACTTCCTTCTCTGAATATATTTTTGATACAATTTGATATTTAATCATTGATTAAATATCAGTGATTAAATACCTCTCTACTTGAAGGGTTAGGAATTGTGAGGACCTGACATAGTTAATGACATGTGGTAAATACTAAAATATTTGTTGACATCTAAACATTTGTCTTTAAATCTACAGGTGTTCCAGTTATTTATTAAGCAAGTATTTAATGAGAAAGTACCATATGCAAGCATTGTGGAGGATTAAAAAATATATAAAAATACTCTTTACTCTTGGAGAATTTATTATTTAATTGTGGAAATAAAATAGGTACACATCTAATTTTATTAGAAGGCAAGAAGTGATATGTGCTTTTTTTAAAAAAAAAGTGGGGGGGGGGCGGTAGCAAAGGGCAGAACAAGAATACTTCCAGCTGAGGGATCAGTTCCAAGAAGCAGCAACACTTGAGACTGACTTTGAGATGCGGGCATACAGAGAAAGCAGAGAAAGGGATGTTGGGGGGGAAAAAGATTTGGAAGTGGCACATATGCAAGAAAGTACTGAGCACAGGAAACAGCTAATACAGTGGTAGCTCATGTAGGATGGCATGTAGAGTTCATGCAAAGACAACTGGAAAATATTTCTAAGATATAGAAAGCCTTGCAACATAGATGAAAGTGTTTTATATTCTATACTAAGCAAAGCAGGAAATTCTTTCAGATGTTTAGGCAAGGGAGACACATGAACAGAGTTATTTTAAAGACATTAATCCAGCAGGAATATGCAAATTGCCTTAAAGACAGGAAAAACTGAAGGGAATGTACAGGAGAACTAAGGCAGCAGTCCAGCTCAGAAAAACAGTAATCAGAACAGGGCAAGTGGTAGTGGTAATGGAAGGAAGAAATTAAAGATCTTTAGGAAGCAGTATGAGAGGGCTTGGCAATTGGATGTGAAGGGTAAAGGGAATGAAGAGTCAAAATTGGAAGTAAAGAGGAAGAGCACGTTTTAAAATTATATTATTATTTTTGGTAGATTTTGGGAAAGGAGGAAGGGGATAGAAAAAGTTGATGAATTTGGTTTGAGCACACAGAGTCAAATGAAGATGTTTAAAGGAAAATTGGAAAGGAGTCTATACTTAGGAATGAAGTCATAATTAGAGGGGAAAATTGTCAACTATTTGTAGAGGTGAGATGAAGCTGTAAAGTGGATACAATCACCAAGCAAGAAATAATGGAAGAAAAAGTGTTGCGGACAGATTTTTGGGGGGCAGTTCCTATTGAAAGGTAAGGGCAGCTAGTCAAACAATGATTATTGATATAGGAGGATCCAAAGAAGTCAAAGGAAAGAGAGAGACAAGGAAAGGTACTAACACTGGTGAGATTCCACTGAGACTGGAATGTCATATTTAATTACATCATTTCTTGGTAAGCTTCAAAAAGAACTTAAATATTCCACAGCTAAAATTCTAAAAGTCAAATCTGGCACCATTTTGATGTCCCACCAAAACCTCACACTTTTTTTTTTTTTTTTTTAGAGACAGGGTCTTGCTATGTTGCCGAGGCTGGTCTCAAACTCCTGACCTCAAGTGATCCTTCTGCCTCAGCCTCCCAAAGAACTGGAATCACAGGCTTGAGCCATGTGCCCAGCCCCAAACTTAACATTTTAAACCGAATTCATCTTCCATGCTTCGTCCCTGCTTCCTTCAGCCTCCGGCACTCTTCCTCTTGACCCCTATTTCTGTCAGAGACATTAAGGAATGAATGAATGTGCTGAGGAAGCAGAGAAGGAAGGTATCTTTCAGAGGTGACAGTAGCTATTTAGAGAAAATCCAGTTGAACTGAATAATCTACGGGAGGAGAGAGAAAGAACTGTCTTCCAAATTTCATACTGATTTTGCATTTGACAGTATAATCCTTAAGTGTTGTCTATTTAAGATTAATTTCAAAAATCCAAAACTTGAAGCCTTAAAATAATACAAGAATCAGCGTGACTCATATTACATAACCTATTACATAATTACACAATATAGGTAGTATAATACTCATTATGGGGTTCACTCATTATCAAAAGATACTGGCTCCTAAATAAATGTATTGCTCTATTTTGCAAATGCCTGGATCTATGTTTCTGTGTCATAAGACAAAGGCCATAAAATCAGATTTTGTCCCTCCCCTGATCAAAAATATTCACTGGCTCCCCCACACTCTCTACCAAGCCTGCAAGGCTCTACAGTACATGATCTGGCTCTCACCTTTTTCAGCTACATCTCCAAACATTAGTCTCTGATGAGCTATGCTCCAGTCACAGTGTCCTTTCCTTTCTTCAAAGACTTTTCTGCTTCAGGGTCTTTGCACTTACTATTCCTGTTTCCTGTGCCTCCAACTCTTCCCAAGGGCTTCACTAGGCTGACTCCTTCTCATATAGCTCCTATGATCCCCCCATTCATTCTTTCATTTAGCGAATACTTATTCATTGCCTACAAAGGGCCAAGAATCTTTTTCTTAAAAAAGACCTTTGGTTACAAGAGTAAACAGACAAGATTCTTGCACTCAGGCGGTCTTCCCTGACTAGACAATTCAATGACAGCATTTGTGCCCTTCCTCCCCATTCTATTACATTATTCTTTATCATCTTCATAGCACTTAATATTGTCCTAGTTACTCATTTGTTTATTTGATGATCTGGGTCTCTTTCTCTTCTTGTCTATTTTGTACCCCGAGGAATCCTCTAAAATTGCTACTAAAATCTGAAAACCAATCCGCAGGGCTGTTACGCGGCTGGGTCTGTTAGTAGGCAACTCTACGCTGTCAATTCTCCCCAGGCGGGGCCTTAAGCTCCTCACAGAGGTTCGGAAGCCCAGGCTCTGAGAAGTTTCCCAGGCCGCGGAGATGCGAGCGTGTCTCTTAAGCGCAAGGAGAATGCGAGCAGAAAAACGACCGGTGGGGGCGGCGGAACCCTTTGCTCTGTCTGGGGGAAAGTAAGGTCCCAAACAAAAGTTTTTTAAAAATCCCACTCTCCGGTGCCTGTTCTTCGATTCCCGGCCTCTGCCATGTCCCAGGGCCCAGAGCGCGACCGCTCGGCTCTCAGCAAACTTCGTGGCACAGGAAGAGGACGCACAATGGGAAAGGACAAGAAAGAAAGGGAACGGCGGGCTTCTTACCGCGGTCAGAACCCTGAAGTCATCTCGGCTCATGTAACGCAGCTTGGCCACGTTTACCTTCCCCATGGCGTCCCCAGACAGAGCCCAGAAACAAGTTCCACCACGGCCGGAAAGCACAAGGCAGGTCGGTATTCAGGCGTCTCCAGGGAGGGTCAGTGTCTGAAGGTTTGCGCATGCGCTGCGTCTTAGTACAGGTCCTTGTTAATATATAAATTGCTGTTCTCACTGGCATGGAAAATTAAAACATCTTGTATGTCTTATGAAGCACACATATGGAACAGAGGAGCGTTTTATTTTTAAATTATTTTTTAATATGACTGAGTTGGCGGACTGTAAATGTTCTTTACAAAATGCCATTGTTTTTGACCATATCTGTCAGGACAGGTTGGCGGAAAGACGCGTTCCGCCTCAAAGAGCAAAGTGATAAGTTAATGGAAGGAGCAAATTTTACCCCTACACAGCAACTTCTACTTTAGGCAAAGTGACTTCTAATAAGAGAGGAGGGGATATGAACATGAGTGACAGTCTGGACAACCAAAGCTCTTAAAGGTAAGTACCACAAGCCGTCCGCCTAATTGCCTAATTGCCCCTAATTGCCCCTGACCTAGGCCAGGGAGGGCGTGGTTATTCTCGCGCTTGCTCAGTACTTGGCTTTACGTTGGTTCTCGAGGCTTCGGACTGCGCCTGAGCCTGTTGGGGGTGGGGTTTAAGGAGCACGAGCGCAGCTGTCGTCGTACTTATCAGCTCGCACTTACAGAGGGGGTGGGCGTTTCGATGGTTCCGGGCTGACGAACGCGGATGGGACTTGGGGGCGCACGAGCGATTTAAGGGCTTTAGGAGAGCTACCACACAGGGTCTGTAACTCCGCTGTGCGACAACAGAAATGGTAATCGCAGCGGGACTGTAAGCAACTTGCATCCCAAGAGGATTCGTAATCTACCATACCTTCTGCAACAACGGTGACAGGATAACAACAAAACTTGTATGATACGGTTTGCATTTCTATCTTATTTCGTGAACTATATTTTAAATCTTTAAATGGCAAATATTTTAGTACTCTCCTCATGCTAAGTGTAGGTGTTACCTATTGTCATGGAATATTGTGGTCCACTTTAACCTTGACCTCATTCCCAACCACTGATGTTTTTCACCTCTCTCTGGGCCCAGTTTCCAAACTTTCAACGTAAACGTTGGAATTCAACATTTACAGAGCTCTGTCCCCCCACCCCCACCCCCCCGGGGTTCCACAGACTGATGTGCTGATTTTCCTCCTCTTCAGGACAGGTCCTAAGCATGTTGCTTGGTCCAAACACAGAGCTAGCCCTTTCATGAAACAGGCACTGGATTTTAGAGGCAGGCCACTGAGTACGATCTGCTCTTTCTTTCCAGCTAGGATAGTTGGTGCTCTGACATAATAGAATGGAAAAGGAAGAACATCTTCTATCTCTACAGTCTAAACTTTGGCTTCTTTTTACTTGACTGCAGCAAATCCTTGATTAACCATGCTCAACCAATGGACATATCCATTTAAATGGAATTTTTCTTTCTGTACTTCACATAAGACGTAATGAAAAGTTTTTAAAGACACCAAATTACCAACTTCAAAAGCAAGAATGGAATGGCAAACACAAGTCATTTGGGTGTCTACTCCTAATCCAACATTTAGCAATCCATTGCTAATCTGTTATAGTACAATTCTTACATTACTTCTCAACACTGCTCCAGACAGCCATCACTAAGTGGATTTGGCTAGGACTGCTATTGACGTTTGGAAGTATGCCCTAGGGTTAATCACATTGAGTCCAAATCTCTTACACTTTCAATGTCATTTTTTAAAATAAAATAATCTTAATAATCAGAACCTTAAAGAGTAAAAGTAAGTGATTCAAGTACAGTTTGGTATTCTGTTCTACTTGATCATATTTTGCTTAGTGATGACTAAAACAAAAAAATGTACAATATCACTCATTTACTCATTCACCCTTTATCAAACATACATGCCAGACTTTTGGCTAGGTCTTGGGGAAACCAAATCCCAGTCCTTAAACCTGTGGTGGAGAGTGATGAATAAAAAATTAGTAGTGTGACAGATGTGTGCAAAGGGTATATCATGTTATTTCCTCCTCCCAGAGACCCACTCCAATCACACACACACACCCACCATATCCTCACAAGCTACAGAGGATCTTAACTGTCCACAGATCAAAGGTTAAACTTCTTATGCTGGCATTCAGGATCTTCAACAATCATTACTTTCAAGTAGCTTATACTCTTGTCTAATTGAATTGTGTTTTTTTCCTGGACAACTCCCTTGAGTTCCTTTCTCACCAACTTTTCCCTGCACCTGTAATGCTCACCTTCCCTACTTTTGTTTTTTTTTCTTCTTTCCAATTGCAATATGTTTAAATCTTACCTACAATTCTTCAATTCTATGCACCCCATAAAGCTTTTCTTTATTATCTCTAATCATCTCTATATTAGTTTACTAGGGCTGCTACAACAAATTACCACAAACTTGGTGGTTTAAAACAATAGAAACTTATTCTCTTATAGTTCTGGAGGCTAGAAATATGAACTCATTTTCACTAGGCCAAAATCAAGGTGTTGACAGGACCATGCTCCCTACAGGGGATCTAAAGGAGAATCTGTTCCTTCCTTCTTCCAGATTATGCCAGCATTTGGTGACTGCTGGCATTCCTTTGGCTTGTGGTGCATCATTCCCATCTCTGTCTCCATGCTCACATTATTGCCTTCTTCACTTCTGGGTATGGATATCTCCCTTTGTCTCTATCTTACAAAGATACATGTAATTGCATTTAGGGTCCACCCAGACCCTTAATAACATCTGTAAAATCTTTTTTTCCCCATACAGGATAAATTCATAGCTTTCAGGGATTAGGCTGTGGATATTTTGGGGGCATCATTATTCAACCTACCACAATCCCAAAGGGAAGTAAGTGCTCCTTCCTCTAATCTTTTGTAGCCTATTATCTTTAATGATTCTGGCCACTTTTTAACCTCCCCTACTTGCCCTTAGATTAATTACAGAAATATTTGAACAAGGAGATTGAATAAAAAGCTTAGTTTCAAAGAAAAGAAAATTGTATATTTAAATTGTATGTTTAAATTTAAGATATTGTACTATTAAAAACTCAGAAAAATTGTGATAAGTTTTACTGCACATGGGCTGTAGAGCCATACATTTGCGTATTGGGGTACTAGTGGAGGGTAAAGACACAGTATGGAATATATAAGTGTGTGGAGTTTATGGCAAGTTCCAATGAGAGAATCACAATGCAAACTTGTAGAGATTTGAAGCATGTCAGAATACAAAGCAGAGGTTTAAATACCTTTTGGAAAATAGCTCCTGGAAGAACCCTTGGAGAAGTAGAATGCTTGACACTGAGGTATGAAGCAACAATGTGGTCACAGTTGTCCTTCGTGAACTGATTTCTGTCAGATTAACCACATTATAGGGTGGGCAATTCCAGCAACAGTCTGTGATAGGATGAAAGTGATCCCTCATGATCAATTGGTGAAGGGGAAAAAAATCTCACGTTTGATTCATGGATGGGTCAGTTTGATATTGTGGTTGAACTACAGCCCTACTTGTGTGACCTTGAAAGAGAAGTGATCAGGGTATATCCTCCCAATAAAAAAATCTTTGGAATGTGCAGTTCATCATTCACTTTGAGTTGCAAAAGAAATAGCCGGAGGTTAGAATATATATGGACTCGGGGGGCAGGAGGGAATAGCTTGGCTGGTTACAAAGGGATATGAATTGAGAAAAATTGTTAGATTGGGAACAAGGAAATCTGAGGTAGAGGGGAATGAGAATGGGTATATGGGAGTGGAAAGAAATGTGAAGATCTTTGGATTGCATGTTAATACCCACCAAAAAACACCTAACAGAAAAAGGCACTAAACTACCAAATACACTAATACCTTGTCTAGTTGACAACAGCCAGCCTCTGTCATTGCAACCTGCCATTCCAGTGAAGGCACAACTGCTACACAAATGAATTAGTGATGGTAGCAGGGATGGAGGAGGCTATGCATGGACCTGACAGCATGAGCTCCAACTTACTGAGTCTAGAAAGCTACTGCTACTCCTAAATACCCAATCTACTTTCAACAGACACCACTGCTGAATTCCTAATCTTATGCCTTCTCCTGTGGAAACTAATCGGTCACTTGGTGTCAAATTGACTACACTGGATGCCTTCCACCATGGAAGAGAGAGATTCATATTGACAATAACAGATATATAGTAGGAGCATGGGTTTCCTTTCCTGTCTGCAGGGCCTTAATTTGCACCAGTATCCTAAGGCTTACAGAATGTTTTCTCTAACAGCATGGAACTGCATTTTACAATAAAAGAGGTACAGGACTATGCACATGATCATGGGATCCCTGCTTATATCACATACCACACTACTCAAAAGCTGCATGATAGAATGATGGAAAAGTCTGTTGAAGAACAGCCTGGTAAAGGCACTACTGAAGTATCAGCACAGAGCTGATACCTTATGAATTTGGGTTGCCATCCTCCAAGAGAGAAATAACTTATATGGTCCCCAACAGGTAGAATACATGGGTCCAGGAATCAAGGGTTGGAAATAGTATTGGATCCAGCTACTGTCATTCTCAGTGATTGACTTGGGGAATTTCCATCTCAGTATCTCTGGGCCCTGAGGATTTAGAAGTGTTGATTTCAAAGGAGGATATTTCTACCAACAGACACAGCCAGAGGTCAGGTGAATAATAATGTATGGCTGCCATGTACTCTTTAGACTGCTTAGTTCAAGGAGACATGGCATGAGAGGGCATGGAGACCTTGGGATGAAGATCTGGGTTATACTATCACACAAGTCATGGAGATTTGCAGGCATGCCAGCTAAGAGTGAGAGGAATCTAGAATGGAAATTAGGTGCGGGTAACAATGAGTGTCAGTTATAGCTCAAGCCGAGCTACATTGATGGGGGGTTATAGTTTGTTCCATTTACCTTTTTCTTCTAAGATTCCCCCAAGAAGAGATGTTCACTGGAATCCTGAAAGAGTTGCTTCCAGAATTTAAACAAAGAAATAGATCCAAGTAGCACAAGGGTTGGACTTGGGTGGACAC